GCTGAGACATTATGGCCATAGTGCAGGGACATTCCTGGACTCTGCTTGTCCCCTGTCCTGTGGCCTCTAAGTTGAGAGCCTAAAGACTGGCTGCACACTTGGAATATTGAGTTCTGGTGAAGGACTTCATGAGTCTTCTGATGTCAGCTGTAGGTGACCAGGGTGTGGCTCAGTGGCAGCTGTGCAAGACTGGGCTTCCTCCCCAGCACAACAACAGAGCAACCTCCCTGTTTTCTTTGATGGCTAATTTTACCATCTTGTGGTGACATTTTTTTGTAGAGCTCATTTTTTCCCCTCCTCAGCTGTCATGGTACATTTTTTGAGCCAAACATTTCAACTCTGGCATTTGTTTTTTGTTTGTTCTTTTGGCCACAAGTAAACACATGCTTAAGCAATAGCTTCCTTGTGCTATCGAGTTATGCAATCTAAAAAATACCAGAGGGCTTTCATTTTAGTTTTGCAGACTATGTAACTGCAAAATACTTGCACATACAATGAAGAAAAGCAATAGGATTTTTAGTGGGGGGGAAAAAAAGAAGTGTTTCTCATTGGGAGCACCTCCTTGTGGCCTCAGCTGGCCTCCTGCCACCTGGTCCCACTCAAGTAGAAGGGAATTCCTCCAGGTGCTCCGCATGCAGAACAGAAATGACAACCAATCCCTGGAATCTAAACAGGACAGTTGGCTTTAGGCATCAAGGGGGACTGGGACGGCTACCTAGTGCACAGGCACTTGAGTTCCTCTCTTAAAGTGTGGCAGGGTTTGCCTAGAAGCTGCATACAGTCTCCTGTGTGCACAGACAATACCCAGCACGATGCGGATGTGGCACAGACACTCACTGTGCTGAGTGTATGCCTGTCCCGTGCAGAAATGGTCTATATGAATACTCCCTGGGTGCAGCTGGCTGGACCTGGGCATGTGTGACGCATGTGCAGATAGACTACCTCTGTGTGCTGTGCCAGGCTAACACACAAACCTCATAACCACTTGAGGCGGTAGACACTGCTTTGAGGGTTTTGTTTTGTGTTTATGTATGTGGATATTTTGCCTTCTTGGATGTGTGTGTGTGACATGTATGCAGTGCCCACAAAGACGGGCATTGGATCACTTGGAACTGGAGTTAGATGGTTGTGAGACCATGTGGGCACTGGGGACCAAACCTAGGTCCTCTGGAAGAGCAGCCAGTGCTCTTAACCACTGAGCCATCTCTCCAGGTGGAGGAACAGATGTTTTGTTTTGTTTTTCGAGACAGGGTTTCTCTGTGTTGCTTTGTAGACCAGGCTGGCCTCAAACTCACATATATCCACCTGCCTCTGCCTCCCGAGTGCTGGAATTAAAAGTGTGCACCACCACCGCCTTGAGGAACAGATTTTTAATCCTATTTTATGGATAAGGTAGCTGGAACCCAGACAGGTCAAGTAGCTTTCAGAGAGAAAAGCTACAGTTTCCAACTCAGTGTGGATCCAGAATCTGGATTTCACCCCCATGTTGGATTTCATGCCTAGAAATGCTGTGGCCTTCGTCTTAGAGACCCTTCCCCCACCTACTTTACTCTGCCTGGGTGGCCCAGGCCACCTGCTCCTTCCTTCTATTAACCTAACATTTACCCCAGGGTGGCTGCATATCTTGATTCCTTCCAGGATCTGAGACCTGGAAATTGACCCTCATTCCCATCACTGCCCTGGGGCCTGCTGAGGTCAATGCTCAGGGCAGGTGCTTACACAAAGGGAACCCATCAGGACCAGCCTGATGCCAGGAATTTATTTATTTATTCATTTATTTATTTTAGGCCACCTGTAGTTGCTGCACTGGGGCTGACATCAACATGGCCCGTGATGGTTTCCTGGCCTTAGCCTGACTCTGGCTGGGTGACCATGGGGCTATCTGCCAGGATTTAGTGGCTCCTATCCCCATCCCATCAGACTCACCTGTACCACGCTCCTCTCTGACCCTCCAGCTTGCCATTCTGCCTTCTGTTGAATTCTACTTTTCTTTCCACTGTTGGTGGAACCCTGGGCAAGAGATACACCTCAGGAAGTCATAGGAATATCAGGTGAACCGAGTGTTGACAGAAGTGGCCCTGATCCCAGAGTGTCTCCCAGAGGTAGGGTCTTGGTAAATGAGACTGGGAAGAGAACTGGGGTCTTTGGGTTCCCATATATTGTCCCCTGATGTTGGTTGTTTTATTACTCTTTATTCTTTGGGGGGTCCCCCACCCAACTCCAAATAAATACACACGGAGGTTTATTCTTTCTTTGCTTGTCTCTAGCCAGCTTTTCTTAATTATCCTGCTCTCTTTTGCTCTGGGCTTTAATCTTTCTGCATTTCTGCATATTTTCTTTACTTCTTACTCAGTGGCTGGTCCCTGGAGTCTCCTCCTTCTCCTCCCAGATTTCTCCTTCCCTGTATTCTCTCTGCCTGCCAGCCCTGCTTTTCCTTTCTCCTGCCTCCCAATTGGCCATTCAGCTCTTTATTAGACCAATCAGATGTTTTAGACAGGCACAGTAACACAGCTTCACAGAATTAAGCAAATGCAACATAAAAGAAAATAACACATCTTTGCATCATTAAAACAAATGTCCCACAGCATAAACAAATGTAACACATCTACAACAGTCACCTTCCCATGGACATTGTCACCCATTGTGACCTGAGGCTTCTCTGCCGTGTCCCGTGACTTGGCTGGCTTTTTGTCCAGATCTGCAGGCCTCATTGTCATGATCTTCTTTGCCTAGGCTCTACCTCCCAGCCACCTCCTACTCACCAGGCTTTGTCAGCTGTGACAAGTCCCATGCCTGTCCCTCTGTGGTCACTCTCACCAGTTCCCTCCAACTTATCTGAGGGCCATGGCTGAGGTTCCCTGGGGCTCAAGGGGACGACTCTAGCTGTCTTAGACTACGGCTTGCTCTTTGAACTACATAATTAAGAGTGCTCACATTGCATGCTCCCATGTAATTTCCTGGCCTTTCCTTACTCCCCTGGGGCCTCTCCATGTTTGCATGTCCAGTGCTTTATCTCCCTGGTGTCAATGACTGTTTTGTGTCCTCCTTAGGGTAAATAGTTTGCATTCCTCCCCATCCACCCCCACGTCCTCTGACTTTAATTCTTGCCTCTTGCTTCTAGTCTTTTATTCTCTTTGAGTGGGAGGCTGACCTAGTTTCAGTTAATGGTCTGCTGCTCACCCCAGTCCTCCCAAGATGGGGGTGAAGGGGGTGGGAGGGGTGGGGTGGGTAGGGATGGGGGAGGTGGGTGGGTGTGTGACCACACCAAAGATAATTAACCTGGGGCTGATGGCCTCCTGCTGTCTCTCTATAGAAAGTGTCCAGCCTGGAGTATTTTATTGTATCAACAGAGAATGGACTAAGGTAATCACTTCTAATTATAATAACCAACTACATCCTGTAAAGAAGATAAGATTTTGTTTTTTCAGGCTTGGAGATGGTTGCATATGCGTAATGAGATAGCTTAGTGATAAGACCCAATATCATAATCTCCATGCAACACCATAATACTCTGTCAAGAAGAACACAGGGAGGTCGCTAGTCTCGGGAAGGGAAGCTTTGCTAATGGCAAGGAGGACTGAAGATCAGCTGGCCTTGGCTGTTCTCCTTCCCAGGCTGCACTGCTGCGAGAAAACACAAACACTGGCCAGAGCTGCACAGCAAGCAGTCTCTCCAGCTCTTTTCAAGAGCCAGACCAGCACACAGAATCCCAGATGTACAGCGCCTGGCAACAGGGACCACGACCCCTCCCCTTCAGTGCCAGGTTAAGGTCACTCAGCAGCAGCTCTGCAGGAGAATGTCATGGGGCACAGTACCTGGTTCCTGTCCCCTGGTCATTTTTCCTTCTAAGCACTGGGGATGTTTAATCTATAGCGGAGATATTTAGCCAGCAAAAGGAAAGCAGGGAGTTAAACTCGGTGTTTGTCCAGGGCCACTCCAGAGGCCTTCAACAAGTTCTCCTTGCTGCTCCCCACCCTAATTCCAAGCTTTAAAACCACCTGGGTGGGAATTTAAGTGGTCTAGCTCAGGTCATCAGACTTGGCAGCAAGCACCTTTATCAGCTGAGCTGTCTTGCCAGCTCCAGACTTTATTCCTCAGACATAACTGCATCTACCATTGTTGACGGACTAGGAATCTTTAGGAAGCAAAGGAAGGAGAATTTCCAGTGTGAGGCTAGCCTGGGCTCCATAGTGAATTCTGTCGACTCAGGAGAAAAGGTAAGGGGACCAAGAGCTCAAAATCTGAGCTGAGAAGATGGCTCTGGGTAAAATATTAGGATCCCCAGAACCCATGTAAAAATCTGAGCATGTCAGTACATGCCTATAACCCCAGAGAGGGAGATAGGAGAGGATTTGGCCAGCCAATTTAGCCCAAATGGCAAGCCCCAGGTTCAGTAAGAAACCCTGTCTTAAAATAAACAAAATGGAGATAGAGGCACCTGATTCACATATGCATACACATTCACAATACACACACACACACACACACACACACACACACACACAGAGAGAGAGAGAGAGAGAGAGAGAGAGACAAGTTCAAGAGAGAGAGGCAAGTTTGTTATGACAGTTACTTTTCTTGTAACAAAATGCCTGAGGAAAGTAGCCCAGAGAAGGTTTCCTTTAGCTTACAGTTGGGGTACAGCCATCATGGTGTGAAAGCGGGCAGCAGAAATGTGACATAGCTGGTCACACTGTGTCCAGTCAGGAAAGAGCTGAATGCTGGGTTTTGTTCAGTCCAGGGCCCCGATCTGTGGAAGCGTGGTGCCCACGTTCAAGGCTATCTTCCCTGCCTGTTAACTGTTGTCTTCCTTTCCCTGAGTGAAAACCCTCATAGATGTGTGTAGAGAGGTGTTTCGAGGCAATCCTAAACCCAGTCAGGTTGAAAATGAAATTTAATCATCACACTTGGCTACATAACCAGTTTGAGGCCATCCTGGCTACATCACACACACACACACACACACACACACACACACACACACACACACACACAAAGCCATTTTTTTCTTCTTTTTTATGAATTTTCGTGTCATTCTTGCACAGGGGTCATGCCAATCTTCTCTGTATCATTCCAATGTTAGTATATGTGCTATTGAAGAGAGCACACAAAACTATCTTTTATTGGTCATATACTTTTCAAATATCTTTTCCATGCCTGTAGTTTATTGTATCAATTTATGATGACTTTTATGACAAATATAATTTAAATTTGATCATAGTCAAATCAAATTTGTTTTTGTTTTGTTTTGTTTTGTTTTTGAGACAGAGTCTCTCTATGTAGTCCTGGCTGTCCTGGAATTCGTTTTACAGACCAGGCTGACCCCAAACACAGAGATCCACCTGTCTCTGCCTCCTGACTGCTGGGATTAAAGGTAAGCACCACCATATCCATTGATGAAATATTTCCCTATCCATGGCCAGAAGTCCCTGTTTTTATTGAAAAAAAAAATATTTTTCAGCACCTGGCATGGAACCCAGAGCCTCCAGATCTGTTAAGTAGCATTCTACCTCAGACTAAATATCCCTAGCCCTTCCCTTTATTTTATTCTAACAGTTTCAGCTTTTGCCTTGAATATTTAGAGCTTTCACTCACACAGAACTTAGGATGGGCATGGTTAGAGAGACTTCTGATTTTAAAAAGTTCACATCGACACTGTCCTACCTGATGCCTTCGAGCTATACACATTGTTTCCCCTCATCTATTGGCTGTTCTCCAATGGTCTGGAGGATGTGCAATCTGTTGTTTGTGCTTTACTTGCTTATACTTAAGATTTTAGATGGTACAGTCAACTCCACAGCACCTGGTAATGTCTAACCTCCTGCATGACTGAAAGGACTTGAAGAGGCGACTCTGATCTAATTTCCCATCTGTCATGGCGTCACTGTGTGAAGCAGCTAAGATGATTGTGTGATTGAGAATGACACTGACCCACATAAAAGGTGCCAGTGGATATATTTGCACGCGTGCTTACACATCAACACAGACAAGATAGTGAGCCCGACTGTGCTTCCAAAAGCCCTAGCGGCTGAAATGATCACAGGTACCTGAGCCATGCACACGTGCTCCACATGTCCCATTATCTGCTTCCTCTGTTTTTTCCAGCTTTCTCTTTTGTCCAGGTTAGTCTCTCTCTCTCTCTCTTTTTCTTTTCTTGGATAAACAGAAGCTCCCCACAGGAGCTCTATGAATTGTATGTGTTGTGCATTTCCTTCTTTGCCTTCGTGTTTGAGTAAAGTGCTAGCTGGGTACAGAATTCTGGCCAGTTTCTCAGCATTCCCAGAGCACCTTTGTTGTGAAATATTATTTTAACTAGACAAAGATGTGTTACATTTGTTTATACTGAAGAATATTTAACTGTGTGAAGGTGTGTTGCATGTGTTAATGCTGCATTTGTTTAATCATGAAAAGATATGTTACATTTGTTTCACCTTGTCTGCTTAAGGCACCTGATTGGTCCAAGAGCTGAACGGCCAATAGCTAGGCAGGAGAGGGACAGGCAGGGCTAGCAGGTGGAGAGAATAAGGAGGAGGAGAAATCTAGGCTCAAGAAGAATGAGAGGAAGAAGGCGTAGAGAATGAGGGAGGAAGAGAGGGGCACACCCGGGCCAGCAGAAAAGTAAGACATACAGAAGGAAGGAAAGAAAGATAAAAACTCTTAGGCAAAACAGAGATGGAGAGAAACAGGTTCATTTAAGTTAAAGGGGGGAAAAATCTAGCTAGAAATCAGTATAAGCTAAGGCCAACATTCATATCTAATAAGTCTTTGTGTCATGATTTGAGAGCTGGTTGGTGGCCTCAAAAGAAAAGGCCTGGTACACACTGTTCTATGCAAGAGACTATGATGGGAATGTTGCAGAGATATCAGCACTGCCCTGGGCATTGCAGCACAATTCATAATACCCAAGATGTAGAAATAACCCGTGCCCATCAGTGCATGAATGTGTAAAGAAAATGGGATATACACACCCAATAAAGTACTGTTCAGACACAAAATAGAAGGGAATGTGTCACCGTGAAATACACATGATCCAGTAGGATATTGTGTTAAGTGACACAAGCTGGGCATGGAGAGACATGTAATTTTACCTGTGGGAGGGAGGGTGTGGAGATGTTGGTCAAAGCACACAAAGTTTCAAGGATAGAGCAGTAAGAAATCTGTTGTATATCATGACAGCCATAGTCAGTCATGTAAGTCAGAGGTTCTCAACCTGTGGACCATGACTCCTTTGAGGGGATTGAAGGACACTTTCACAGGAGTCACCTAAGACCATCTTGCATATCAGATATTTATATTATAATTCATAACAGTAGCAAAATTGCAGCTATGAAATAGCACTAAAAATAATTTTATGGCTGAGGGTTGCTACAACATGAGGAACTGTATTAAAGGGTTGCCACATTAGGAAGGTTGAGAACAACTGATATAGAGTATTTTCAAAAGATGCTGACAGTAGATGCTAATGGTGGAAATGGTAACTGAGTGGGTGATATGTATGGAGATTGGCTGGACTTTGTAGATACCAGGCAAGCAGATCACATCCCCAGAGCTACTCTGGCCAGTCAGTGCTAACTAAACCATCCTTAAACAGATCAAGCTGGGTAGGTGGCACACACATATCTGCACTGTACTTGGGAGGCAGAAGCAGGAGGAAGGCTATCCCCCCAACCATAATGAGACAGTAGGTCTCAAAGCAACAATGACAAGTTTAAAAAACAAACAGGAGACCAAAACCAATGGGACTGGAATGAAAGGGGGCAGCAGAGAGCCCTGTCTTCATTGACTAGTCATGAAAACCTACTTCAGGAGACCACCGAAGGTGCAGAGGAAGGGTTGCTGTTGGAAAGTTAGAAATTCAAGAGGCTAGTTTAAAAGCAGCCATCAATCACAAGGAACGGGATGCCAGCAGAGGGCATGAAACTGCTGCCCCCCAGCCTGTGCTAGCCTTGGAAGAGAAGCCCTGGGACCCTCCTGGGGCTGCTATGTGACCTAATGAGGCAAGCTATATTTATAAGGTCACATGCCAGAACTTACTGAAATCAGGCAGGTCAGTAGAAGATTCTGGAAGTTCCTGGAACCTTATTGAATTTCAAGATGATTGATGTGATCAACTTAAGCTTTATGCACACCCCTCACTGGGTTACAAATTAATCTAAAAACCATCAGACAGTACCTGCTCAAGCAAAAATGGGACAGGCGAACTGAGCTGCAGACCCCTTCGCGGTGGTGGCAACGAGAGCAGGCAGCCGCTATTCCTTCAGAGTATGCCGGCTCTCCCGTGAGAACTTCATCATCTCGGAGAGCTGATGGGCTTATGGTTTTCCCAGAAGCCAAGCCAGCCTCCACCATGCTAAAAGGCCTAGGTGGACTGCAGGCTTGGGTGTTTTGAAGACACCCCATTGTCCTCTCCCATAGTGCCATTTGCTACTAGAGACACCTGCTAACAATGCATGCTGCCATTATAAAATAAGTTCAGGAAATGCAAGATCCTATTTCAAAGTCTAGAACCTACGAGTTTAACAGGGGAAAGAAGAGATTTTAAGAAAAGTGGGGCATGGAAGAGCGAAAGGCACCCAGGGGCCAGTGCTACTTATGTACAAGCTGCCCAACTGGTCTCCAGCAGACCAAACCCACTGACATCCAGGGGGAAGAAAAGAAAAAAAATGCTATAACATTTTGTTTTTTGTTTTTTTTTTAAGTCATTTTATTCTTGTATTATAAAATGTGTGTATGTGTGCTAAAGTCTTGATAGCCATGCACTGCACGTTAATTTGAGCACTCACCAGAAGCTGACACCCTGAGAAACAGCCAGACCAATAGTCAGGATTATAAATTGTCCCAAATGGTGGTGGTAGACAGGGTTCTAACTAAAGGAGCTGGAATTTGTGTGACATTCAGTGATTGTGTGTGCCATCACAATGACTTCGTATCCTCACAATGATGTTCTGTGCTACAGTGATAACATTTTATATTCTTACAATGATATTGTGTGACATAATGGCTGTGTGTCCTCAGAATGACTTTGTGTGCATGTATAACTGTATATCCTCAAACAATTGTGCATTATACCCACAATGATTTTTGTGCCCTTCAAAATGACTGTATGCTGTCACAATGACTTATTGACCCTCACAATGACTCAGTGTGCCCTCACAATAACTTGTGTGCTCTCATAATGACACTGTATGCCTTCACAACAGCTCTGAGTGACCATCAAATGATACTGTGTGCCCTCACAATGGCCCTATGTATCCTTATAATAAACTTTGTACCCTCATAATGACTCTGTGTGCCCTCACACTGACTTTGTGTCCTACCACAATGACTAAGTGTGTCTTCACAATGACCGAATGCCTTCACTCTGTGTCTTCACAATGATTGTGTGACCTCACAATGACAATGTATAGCCTTTACAATGACATGTGTTTTATCATAACTGTGTGACCCCAATAGCTTTATGTAGCACCAAAATGACACTGTATAACCTTCACAATGAGTCTGTATACCCTCGAGAGAGACTTGTGTGCCTATAAGAACTCTGTGTCCCCTCATAAAGCCTCAGCATAACTTTCCAAATGACTTTGTGTTCCTACTCACTGGCTCAGTGTGCCCTCATAATGACTCTCCGTGACCCTCATAATGAATCTGTGTGCCTTCACAGTGACTTTGTATGCCAATACAATGACTCAGTGTGCCTTCACAGTCACTGTGTGTGACCTTCACTATGACTGTGTACCCTGTATAATGAATGCAAGCCCTCACGATGACCATGTACCCTCAGACAATGACTCTATATGACATTCTCAATGAATCTGTGTGCCCTTCACAATGACTTCTGTGTGATAATGACTCTGAGTGACCCTCATAATGACTTTATGTACTCTCACAATGACACTGGGTGGCCTGCACAATGGCTTTGTGCAGTGACTTGTGGGTCCTCATAATGAGTCTTTGTCCCCTCACAAAGCCTCAGTGTAACTTCCATGACTTTGCATGCCCTCACAGGATTCTGTATGAACTTCACAATTATCTGTGTGCATTCACTATAGTGACTTCATATGACCTTCACAATGACTTTGTACATTCACAATGTTTGTATGCCCTCAT